CTGCCTCTGTCTGTCACATCCGATTTCAGTTGTGAATGTTAAACCTGTATTAAAATACTTTTTTCCTCCATTTTGGAGGGGAAAAAAAAAAAATCAGTGCAGCAGCTTGCCAGGGAAAAAAGCTCCAGATTCAGCAAAATATGGCCACTCTGTGTTGGGACATATGGGAGTCCTTCGCTGTTTCTTGCCCCTTGTAGCCCTCCTGGATTAGTAGGAGAGGCAGCAGCCCATTATAATTGTAAATTGCCTGGGAAGTTCATAAATAAGGCATTGCTGGAGCTGGGAATATAGCTGGGCAGAGAAGGAAAAAGTATTTAGCTGTGCTCGCAGGAATGGGAGCAACTGCTGGTATTTAATCTTTAATGAACAAAATGTTGCCAAGTGCTACGAGTCAGAGCACGTTTGCTTAATGCTCCTCAGCCCTGTGGCCACAGAGAATTCAGCCTCACCTTGCGCTCTGGTGACCTCCCATGTACCTCTCATCATCTTCCTCCCTTCTTTTGGGGAATGCAATTTCTTAGAATCATTAAGGTTAGATAAGAGTGCTAAGTTCATCAAGTCCAACCATCAACCCATCCCCATTATGTGCACTAACCGTATCCCTCATAGTTTTAGCATCCCAAGTGGCTCTTCTGCAAGGGGCAGCGTGCTTCCTCCATCAGCAAAATCCTGAAATCCTTTCAAACCCTTTGCAAAGAAGGTTTGTGCGCTTGGAGGATTTCCCTGTGCTTGCTGCTGTGTGCCAGCAGAAGGAACCTAGGAGGGCAAAATTGCAGAGAAAAATGAAAAGGCAGAAAGAGCAGGAGCCAGCTGGGCTGGCCTCATGTTAAAAGTCAGTAAGAGGAGAGGTGGAGGGGGTCAAAAGACTGAAAGACACAGAAGGGTTAAGTCTTGAATGGAAGAATGGAGACATCAGAGCCAAAGGAAAATAAGAAAGAGCAGGAGGAAAGAGAAGAGGGGAAAATGATGCAAAGCACCCATTAGGTTGCTTTTCCTGAATGCTTTTGGCGGACCTAGGGACAGGAGGTGGTGAAGGAAATAGTGTGAATTATGTATAAGCTCTGCTAATCGTGGGCTGATTACAGTGGGGATGTGTTTGTATCACCTGTGTTGGCGCCTGGAGGGTGTTCCTGCTTGGCTGCCCATCCCAACAAAGCACCAGAAACAGCACTGCCACCCCAAAATGACCATCCCTTTAGGCACAGAAGGGGCAGGTGAAATGTGGGGATATTCCCAGAGACATGTCTCAACCCATTGTTGGTTTGGCATTGGCTTCTTGGGGAACAATGAGATTTGAGGAATCGATGAGCATACAGGGAAGACAAGCACCAATTAGTGTCAATAAACCCACATTTTCCTTGGATGTAGTTTAAAAGTAATTGGACACACAGTGAAGGGTTTTCTCGATGGGGGGAGAACCATGGGACACACCAGAACGCAGCAACATCCCTCAACTTCTGCATGCATTGGTGTTTGCACCTCCTCCCTTGCAGCTGTTCTGTAATTGAAAGCGCCGAGCATGTTACAATGTGCTGCTTTTATTAATGTGTCACTCCTGATTTAAAAGGACATTTCACTTATCTCTTCCTGCCTCCTTCCTTTCATAATTTTTTTTAAGTGAATGTTGCAAGAATTCCCACTGCTCGCTATCAAAAATACCTTTTTTTTCTTTTTTTTTTTTTTTTTTCCCCAGGGATGAAATATAATCAGAGGACTGCATTTCTATAGGTCAGAATCTAATCAGAAGGTGGCATGGCTCATCTTTGGCTATGAAATATGTTTTATTTTAAAAGAGTGGAGGGGAAGGAGAGGAGCTTAGAGCTGGGAGCTGCTTTGGGGCTGTAGAGGTGCTGGCTGGCCAGACGCAAATCCAGTGCTCAGCCCTTTGTAAAACGGTTACAAAAGACTTTCAGGTTCAGCAGTATCTGACATTACTGTTTTCTTCTCCCCTATAATTAAAAAAAAAAAAAAACAAAAATCACAAAGAACAACCAGACCAGGACTTTCTGCACTGTTTCCATAGGGGGTGAGTTCTGCTCTGCTTCTAAGGAGGAAAGGGAAAGATACACGTGGGGTTCTGTGTTGAAACCTGGCAACCTTGTGAGTATGGAAAGTGTGCAACGCTTCATTTTTCAGAAAAAATGGCAAATTTTGGACTTAAAGTGATGTTTATACCTTACACTTATTTTAGCCCATTTGGTTTTTTTGGGTTTTTTTTTTTTTTTTTTTTTTGGTGCACCCCTTTCTGTCTTTGCTTTTCCATCTGATTAAAAGAAAAAATGAACTAGAGGCTTGAAAGTGAGGCCAAACCTTGGAATTTGCTTACAAGCATTCAGGAGGGGGGGGGAATATTCTGTGCGATGCAAATTTACCTTAGATTTACCCAGGGGGAGTCCCTGTGAACCCAAGCAAGGGACTGCTGCCTTGGAAACCCTCCTGTTGCACAATATCAGATGCCTCCATCAGAGACCTGCATATTAAAGCAAAAATGTTTGGGTGGAAGCTGAGGAGAAATCTTGTTGCAAGACCTGGGGGACAGTGCAGCAGGATGAGAACATGACCCTTCCCATAATCACGTTCTGGGGGGCAGAATTGCAGAGCAGAGCCCCTCTAGCTAATGGTTGGGCTGAGCATGGGAAGCAAGCAAATGACCACAGTTTTGACTGCAAAGTACATTTTTCCAGCATTTCTCTGCTCTGACAAAGCATTGGCTGTGATGTCTTAGAAAGCTGAACTGTGGTTTGGAGGGATTTTATTGACACAGTCCCAAAATCCTACAGACCTGCACTCAGCTCTTCTCTGCATCTTCTGCTCACTCATCCTTCTGGGAAATCAGAATTAGGTTTGGGGGTGTGCATCTTGGAGGATGGTGACGCATGGCAGTTCTCCACACTTGGGAAGAAAGAAGGAGAGATGAGTGCTGAGATTCATAAGCATCACCACCAATGATGAATGCACCACTAAGAAGCCCATTTGCAGCTAACAGGGATATGCCAGCATGGCAGAAGCCAATATCAAGAGCTTATTTCCCTGCCAGCAACAGGTGTAAGAGAAAAGGAACGAGCAAGCCCAAATCCAAGCTGGAAGCAGCATCACAGCATCGCTCTCTCACCAAGAAGGGGCTGGGATGTTGCATAGGAGATTTCTGTGGGGATGTGCACCAGAGCAGCAGGTTTTGGATGAGTCCATCTGGATTTCTGCTTTTTTTTTTTTTTTTTTTCTTCTTATCAGTTTGGGTTTATTTTCCCAGCCTGTGTATCTGGCATTTTGGTGGCTGGCTCCTCCACAGGACCAAGTAGCTGCTTCTCCTTGCTTCATGCCCTTTCCCTCTTTCACCATTTTCCTTCTGGTGAGATTTCACTCTGAAATGGGCATCTGTTGCTGGTTGAGCATGGAGGGTTCTGGCCCCTATAGAACCAATGCAAGAAATTGAGAGGTTACAACGAAGTAAGAGTTGGTTTTGCAAAGCACAGAACATCTTATCGCTATGCTTTATTTGTAAGAAGTAGATATCCTCATAGCACTGCCAAGCCTGAATTATCTGCTCTGATGCTTGGATGCTGTTGGTCCAACCCTGAAGGAGCAACTTTGCAGTGGCCCACTTCGGATTTGAGGCTTGGTTTTGAGCAAGGGTTGAGGTGGGAGCTTCAAGGGTTGAGGTATAGCTATGGGACTTCTGCAACATATAGAGGAAGACAGCAAAAAACCAATAATTTTGGATTTTTGAAGCCATTTGGGAGATGGAGTTCAGAGATGTGTGTACAGGGATTCGGATGGGGGTGCTCTGGCTTTGCACTACCATGTGCAAGAGTGGGGCTGAAGCCAGTGCAGAGCACTCAGAAATGCATTTTCACCCTCTTTGCCTCAGTTTACCCACTGAAGAAAAAAAAAAAAAAAAAAAAAAAAAAACAACTACAGGGGCTGCTTTCAAGCCAGGCTGGGGCTGGTGTATCTTAATAACTTGCAGGCGCAAGGGAGAATGCAATCTCAACTCTGTCACCTGTCACTTGTGCTGCTGCTGCCAGCCTTATATAATTGGCTGCTTGATCCATGCCAGGACAGGAGGGAGATGAGATCTTGCCTGGGGGCTGCCCACGTCTACTAGCAAGCAGAGCTCTGCCAGGCACAAAGCATTGCTTTGGTGCTTGTTGATTTCTGTGCCTGATCTTTTGCAAATGTCAAAGGTGAAGCGGCAAAAACAGGGATACGCCCACAAAGAACTTGTGTGACCCCTACATCCCTCCTTTTCTCCCATCTCTGCCAGCCTCAGCTGCCTCCTCTGCAAAAGAATCTCAGTTCCTCCACCACTCGGGGCTGTTTGCAAACCCACTCCTATTTATTCTGCATTGCTTTTCCATCCAATGCAAGCAGCTGTTAAAACAAAATGGATTTTTGCAGTGGAATTTGAGGTGTGCTGCTTGGGAACAGTGCCAAATGGTACTCAGTAAGAGCTCAGATCTGCAGGGCTGTCAATCTGCAGCTGGAGGAGGTACAGCAAACTAAACATGAAATGCAGTCCCCTGCCCTCTTGACCCCAGCTCTGTGCTCCTGCAATGGGTTTGCAGCAAACCAAGAGGAGAGCGATGGAGAGAGGAAATGAAGAGAAACGAGGCTGCAAGTTTCAACTGTGGATCTCAAATCCTGATTGGTCTTTGGGGTTGGGGTTTGTACACCGGTCAGCTTTGAGCTTCCAGAGACAGGTGAGATTTGGGTACCTGCGGGCAAGTTGGGTGATCTTGCAAAGTAAAAGAGAGAGAGAAAAGCAGCAAAAGGGTTTTTCATTGCATTTTAGTGCTGGTAAATATATGTTACATAATATTAGGAGGGTTTTCCCTGGTACTTTTTTTATGCGTTTGGTACATACAATGACAAGATCCGCATATGTAGGGTGTAATCAACTTCTAGTCTTTGAACAGAGCCATTTAATGCCCCCAAAACCACTTAACAAATTTTCGGCATCCTATCCAGCTCTTACATCCCTTTTTTCTCCTCTGTTGCAGCCTACCTGACAGTCAGCATCGAGCCACTGCCGCCTGTAGTGGTGGGTGACGCTGTGACGCTGAAATGCAACTTCAAGACGGATGGAAAGATGCGGGAGATCGTCTGGTACCGGGTGAGCTGGCACCAGCCTCTGCCCTTGGGGATGGGGACATGGAGGCAGTGGTGTGACATGAGGTCAGGGATGATGGGGAGGAGTGTGGCCATCCAGTGCGACGGTGGAAATATCATTTGTGCTGCTGTCCTTGCACAAAGCCAACAAGGAAGTAGCCTGGCTCTTAAAGCAGGGAGGAGAGGGGGGGAAATGAGTTGACAGTCATCTTAAGGTTTTTTCTTTTTTGTATGTTTTACTGTTTGGGTTTTTTTTTTGGGGGCGCCGGGGGGCGGGTTTAGGCTGGCTTTGGTGAGGGTTATGGGTGCAAGGGGTTGGTTGGCACTATCGAAGAATATGGAACTGGGGTTGGCACCATTTGGGATTTTTAAGTTGCAGGTGGCACCATCCGGGTTTCTGAGTTGGGATGGGGTGCCATTTGGGATTTCTGAGTTGGGATTAAGGTCAGCCCCACTGATTTTTATTTATTTATTTATTTTATGTTGGATGGGAAATAGTGCAAAACTGGGCATGTATGGTGCTTTCCTGGGCTTTTCTGCACTCTGCCTTGCCCCAGAGAAACAACTGCAGTGGAAAAAAAACAACCTAACTTATACAGAAAAAAGCAGAAAGTTGCAGGTGGTGAAGATTCAGCTCTTTGGTTTGCTTGCAAAGAAGGAGCTAATGGGGCTGGTGGCGTCAGATGAAAGGGCTGTCCCTTGCTGTAGAAGGTTTTTTCTTGTTCCTGCTGTGTTGTTTTTGCCCCTCAAATGATGAGCTGCTATGCCTTAAAGCTATTCTGCACAGCTGGCAGGGTTTATAAATACAGAATAGTGTTTGTGGTGCCGATGGATATTCTCTTGCATGAGTGTGCTGCGTGCGTTCCCATTGTGCCCTGCTGTAAATATGTGTGGTTAGGTGTATCAACAAAAATATATTTAACTACAAAACAAAAAATTGTTCCAGACCCCTTTTTAGTGACTTGCTCTGGGGCTTTGTCCCCCTTCCAATTTGGGGAGGAGGAGGCTTTTTTGCACGGTGCAATCTTCACCAGGTTTTTGCTTCCCTTTTCCATTCAGTAATATTGGATTAACCCACTTTCCTGCAAGCTGGGTCTGGATTTGCCTAATCCCACTGCGTGGAGGCATGCTCAAGCCCTCGCTGAGGGGACAGCACATGGGGTGGCTGAGCAAACCGCAGTGTGGGATGCTATGGAGAGAGTGGGAGGGGAAAAAATAACCCAGCTTTTATTTTTATCTCCCCAAATCCTCCTATCCTCCAGTTGTTTGGTATTGTTTTGTTTTTGCCTTCCTTGCCTTTTTTTCCTCCTTTCCCAGTGTGCTTCCTGCATTTGTAAATCATTCTGACAGTGCTTTTGTGCTCTGTGCACTGGAGCAGCCCAGTGGAGCAGTGCAGATAATCTTGGGGCTTTGTTTGTTTTAGAGGAAGCAAAGAGCTCATTGGCTTTAAGGCGCAATACTTTGCGGAGGTGAAAGTGGGGTGCATAGGAAGGAGGCAAAAGAGGTGGACTGTGGTGGCAAACTCAGTGGCAGCAGTTGGATGGAAGGCGTTGGAGTGTGTGTAGAATGCATACAGAGTGCGTGTAGAGACCATGAGATGCATACATAGACCATGGGATGCATGCCAACAGGGTGTGTGTGTGTGTAGACCATCAAGTGCATGTGTGGTTCGTGAGGACCATGATAACCCATCAGGGCATATGTGTAGCCTGTGAGGTCTGTACATAACCCATCATATGTTTGTGCAAGCCATAGGGAGCATGCATAGTTCATGGGATGCACACGTAGACTATGAGGTATGTGCATAATCCATCCTGTGTGTGTATGGTTTTATCAGGAGCATGAATAACCAATCAGAGGATGTGCGTAGCCCATAGAACGTGCACGTAGATCAGAGGGTGTTGTACATAATCTATAGTGTGTATGCATAAGCCACAGGGAGGGTGCGTAGCCCATGGGGTGCGTGCCTGACTCATCGTGTTGTAGCTCATCAGGGCGCATGCGCAACCTGTCAGGGATGTCTGTAGTCTATGGAGTGTGTGCATAACCCATGGGGTGCATGCTTAGAAGTGGTTTGTGTGCATAGCGCATTGTGTGTGCCCATGACCCATAGGGAGCGTGCATAACCCATGGGATGTGCAAACAAGACGATTGGTGGCACCTGGGACAAGCAAAGGACATGATACATAGGGGAAGGAGCATGGAGCCACGTAGCTTCTCTGTGGAAAACCACCACTGTGTGCTGTCTGCAGAGGTGTTAATTAACATCCAAACACCCCCATGAATCCTCACAGTAAATCCATCTCCAGTGGGTGTAATTTGCCTGAGAACATGTGCAAACATGGTTGGAACCCCCGGCTTCTGTCTCGAATCCTCTAAGACCTTTCAGGAGGTGAGATGGCAGCATCCTTGCAAACGAGCTTGTAATGAGCACTGGAAGACACCGAGCTGTCAAACTGTTGGCTGCCTCTGATTGCAGCATCTCAGGGGTTGTACTGGAGACCTGATTAGTGTGGCCACTGCCACACCACAGCGAGTGATGGGGAGGGAGAAAATTACTTTTCGCAGCAGTGCAGAGCTCTTAAACAAAAACAAACAAACAAAAAAAAAAGACAGCAAAGAGAAGGAAGAAAATCCTCTTGGTCGTGTGTTGGCTCTGCACAGGTTGCACACGGCCAGGGGCTCAGATGACGAGAGGCCAATGGCATGGGATATTTTAGTGGTTTTGGCATGGTTTTGGTGGTGGATGAGTTGTGGGCATGTTGCTTTGATGGAGCAGTGCAGCTCCTGACTGGTGTTTGTCCTGGGGACATGCAGCACTCAGCACTGGGGTGTCCCTGGGTCAGGTGCAGGTGGCTTTCCCCCATTTCATTAACTTGTTGCTCAGGGTAATTAGCAAGAAAGAAAACAGCAGGAAGACAGGGATTGGTATTGTAGTGTCCATACACAGGCATTGTTCCCCCTGGCACTCTTGGTGCATGGGCATTGCTTCCCGTTGCATCCACAGTGCATGAACACTGCTTTCTGTAGCACTCAAAGTGCGTGGGCTTTGCTTTCTGTGACAGGCAGAGGCCAATGTGTTCCAGATGTTGGCAGCACATGATCAACAGTATCAACAGTGACACTGCGTGGTCCCCATAGGGGCTACCACTGCCCATTACGAGCAATGTGACACCATGGCCATTCCCCAGTGTCTCCTAGTGACAGCAATAAAGCCACCATGGGCTCCAGGGGAAGGTGACGGCGAGATACTAAAAACACTGCAAATTTTTGGGGTGTTGCACTCCAAATTTTTCAGCCGAAGCAAATCTATTGCAATTTATAAGCTTGCTCCTGTTTTGGGACAAGCCACTGGTTTTATAGCTGCAGAGAAATGCTCTGAATTACGAGCACAGTGCTGATGGAGAGATCTTGGGACAGTAAGTGAGCATGGGCTGACTTGTGCCATTCATCTCCATGCTGGCTGGGTCGGTTCTGCCGCTCAGAGGTGATAATTTAAATGTCAGCATGGGTAACTATTTTAATTCCTCAAACTCAGGCAGGGAGACAAGGTCACATGCAGCAGCACAGTAGATTGAGAGCCAGCAGCGTACTCTCTATTATGGCTCCGGCTTCAGGGAGCATCCCAAAACTATACGTGACCCTTCTGCAGTGTGTGTAATGCTCATCTGTACGTGCATGCATTCTGTATGCAGCATCCCAATGTCACTGCTCCCTTTGGGGAGCATGGGGGATGGAGATGCTCTTTTGGGGATCAATCCATCCCATTTTTGGGCAAAGAACTCAACCACTCAATTTATTTTCCCCCAGTAGTGCTTTTGGGTAGTCTTAAGCAAAAAGCAAGGCAAGGACCAGAGGGTGAGAGCTTGGGATGCATAGCACCTCCCATCCTTTTGCAATCCAGCTTTTCCTCCAAAGTGCCTTCCTCCATCCCTTGGTCCCCATCCATCACAGTGGGATGCTTATCGAGCATCCCGATGAGCGGCTCCAGTAATATTAAGGGGGTGGCTGTGTTTTGGGGGCAGTAAGCAGCTGGGTCACCGCAGAGGTGAGAGCAAACGAGGGAGAAGCAGGAGGGAGCAGAAGGTTAATGTCTCTCGGCACAGTGGCAATTGTTGAGCTTTTGTCAGGAATAAGATCTATGCTGGGGTTTATAAATAATGCAGCAGGCAGCCTGCAGCCTCAGGCTGAGCTCTGTGCCAGTGCTGTAAATGCACTTTTTCCTCTCCCTGCACCCCTTCTGCAGGAGGGGCTGCTTGGAGCTGGGGCTTGCAATTTGGAGCGATCACCACTCAATGCTGCCAAACCCCCCTCACCCTATTCTAAATCTACTGCTTTTACGCCCTGTAGATTCTCCAGCGATTTTTCTTCTGTAGCTCCTCTCAGAAAAAGCAAACCTGACCCTAGGGTGCAGATAAAAGGCTGTAAGTAGGTCTAATCCCCGGAGAGAGACTGTTTTGTGTGCCTTTTCAGAGGAGCCTGTTAGCTGCCTGTAATCCTTAGGGACCCACAGAGCTGCCATCCCTCCTCAGGGGACCATGGGGGCTCCCAGGGGCAGCGATGCCTCTGCTTCCCTGGTGCACTGCTCTGCTCCATTTGCTTTACGTGCATCTGGCTAGATATGGAATCCATCCCTCTTGCAGTGCAACTTGGCCATAGCGTGGGGATAGCACCAGAACCCAGTATAAAAAAAAACAAAAAAACGAAAAAACAAAAAAACAAAACATCGACACCCTGATTCAGAGTATCCCTCCTTTGGCAGTGACCAGGCTCAGTAGTAACATAAAATAGGGGAAAAAAAGTGCAACTTAGACATCTGGAGTGCAGCATTTCGGCTGGTCTAAGCACCATGCTACGGTTGCATCTAGCGATTGCAGCTGCGGGATTGGTGCAGCAAGTTGAGGGTAGCACGTTTATGGCATGCAGCTGTTTCAGAAAAAGGAATGGATTTTACTAAATCCTTTATGTATTTATTTGATTTCTTCTTTCATTCATTTATTTTCTGAGATGCTTTTTTATCTCCGAAATAGTGCCTGGAAAACCCCCATGGACATTCCACTAACAACTTTGGTACACTGAGATCCAAGTGTGGTGCTGAGATTTTTTCTCCTTTGCCCAAACCTCCCCGAACCCAGTCCAGGGCATAAATAAGATTTGGGGCGAATGCGATCTCTCCTTGAAAACTTCTCCTTTCCCCACAGTGGCCAGAGATTTATGGCTCCAGCAATTCTTTGTGTTGCTCTTTATCCCACGTCCATAGGAGAATGTATTTTCTCTGTAATAAAAGTGTCAGCAAATAAATCTATGGAGACAGTTTTACTGACAGCATGTTTTTCCCTCCTATGTATGATAAAAAGGGGGGAGAGATAAAATCTGGAACAAAAGTTGTTTTTTTTCCCAAGCAGGAAGGAAAGCACAAGGCGAGAGAGCATGAAGATGCTGCTCTAGGGTTTGTCACTACACTTCTGCACCTGATGCCTATTTTATTTCAAAAAGGACTTTTTTTTTTTTAACTTTCCAGTGTCTTGATCTGAGCTGCTGCAGCCTTCCAAATCTCTGTGGCCAAGATGCATTGCTTCTGCTTTTTTTTGCTTTTTCTTTTGTACTAAAACATTACAAGTGGCAGTGGAGAAGGATACACCTCCTCTATGGTCCCATCAAAAAGCTTTTTTCCAATTAGGAATGCCAGTCCTAGGGAGCAGCTGGGGAGGTGGGTGATGGCATAGCCTTTCAACTGCTGCAGTGATAACCAGACAGAAACTGGAGGATTTTGCTTAATGAGATTTATAGCTGGGGTTTTGTTTGTAGGTCACTGATGGCGGCACAATCAAGCAGAAAATCTTCACTTTTGATGCAATGTTCTCCACCAATTTCTCACACATGGAGAACTACAGAAAGAGGGAGGACCTGGTCTACCAGTCCACAGTGCGGTAAGTTGTTCTGACGCTGCTGTCCAGCTTGTGTCACATCCTCCAACATGCTGGCTGCTTCTTAATACTTTTTTAAGGAATTTTTCCCATATTGGGCTGCTTGAGGGTATTAAGTGAGGTGCAGGGACAGCCTGTCCAGGGAGGTGGTGGAGTCACCATCCCTGGAGGTTTTCAAGATGCGTGGAGATGGGACATGGGTAGTGGGCATGATAGAGGTGGGTTGGAGTTGGGCTGGATGATCTTAGAGGTCTTTTTCAACATTAGTGATTCAGTGATTCTATAAGTCAGTACTTTTCTTCTTCGTTCATCTGTGGGGATATGGTGACCCCAGGAATCTTGCTAATGAGATAATTGCACGTGCTGGGAAATTACCTTTTTTTGCTGTCTTTCCTGTGTTGCAACCACTCCAAGGAAATGGTTCTATTGCAGAGCATTGTCGCCAAAGAGCCAGGGTCTGTCCCCAAGGTCTTGCATGTCCCTGGGGGAATGGGTATTGTGGGTGGAAATTTCAAAGGTTGAAATAAGCTGGAGAAAAAGACAATTGTGTGTGTGTGTGTGTGTGTGTGTGTGTGTGTGTGTATATATATATATATAGAGAGAGAGAGAGAGAGAGAGAGAGTAATATATAAAAATAATTATTATTTATATAAAAGCAGCGCAAGAGCTCATCTTTGTGTTTCTTCCAAGTGAAAATCACTTGCAAGAGTGTCAGCTTTATTATTAATTACATGCTTGTTTTTTGCTGATGTTGTAAAAACAAAACTGAAGCCTGAAAAAAACATCAGGGGGAGACTTAATTTAAGCCAGAAATGCTGAAGCAAAGTATTTATTTTCATGATTTTTTTTTTTACTTTGTTTTCCTTTTAAGTTAGAATTTGCTAATCGTATTTCAAAGCTTAGTTTTCCAAGTGCCAGGTAACAAAGTTCCTATGTGTGGGAAAGAAAATACAGTCAGTTTCTTGAGGCACCACAGTGCTTCAAGCCTGCAAATGTCCACAGTACAGAAAGGGCTTGGCATGGTTTATCCCTTAGGTAAGCATCCATGCCTAGCTGTATGCAAGCATGATATTCTAATCAATTTTTTAATATGAATTTTGTTGGGGGGGGCCAGGATAATACTCGAGGGGGGGCAGGCAGGGCGGTGCTCATGAAGGTGTTCAGAAGATGCAAATGAATTGCTCAGGATGCTTGGGTGTTGCTGAGGGGATGCTCAGGAGTTGCTCAGAGGATGCCCAGGGAATACCAGGATGATAATTCCCTCCTTGAGTTTTGCTGCTCTGTGTAGCTCAGGCTCACTTTGGTTGCCTTGCAAATTTCTGACATGACTAATTACTGTTTGGAGGATGTTTTGGAGGCTTTGCTAATGGATTACACATTCCCTAACTTGACAACCTTGTTTTCCTGCCATAACACCAGTGTTTCTGCTCAGTGTGGATTTAACCACTGGTCTTCAGCAGGCAGCACCGGCAATTTAAATCAGAATAAAACGTTCCTCATGCACAGAGCAAGACCCCAGCAATGGGCAATCCTTGAGCCATCCTATGGGGATGAAGATGTACCAAATTCACCCTCTTTAAGGCACGTTGACCCTAACAGTATTTTGTCTCAAAAACCTCCTTTTTTTTTTTGTGGATTTTTTTTCTTTTTATACGTGTTGTAGAACTAATACAATTTGAGAGCAGAAAATTCTGCTGCCCTAGAATTGAGCACTTAAAAGCATCGGTAATTGTCAGTGCATCGCCTACAAATCATCTGAATTACCATGCAGTCCAGGATGTTTGCGCTAGAAATATTTGTACGCAATTGCCTTTTTGCAGTGGAAAGCAGCAACGTGCCTTGAACTCTGAGAAAAGAGCTGTTTCTCAAAGGGTATGAAAAGAGCCCATTTTCTGAATCGCTGGCTTGATACTTTTTTGGGGGTGAGGGGGTCTCTCCTTGTGTCTTCTGGTTTTGGTGGCTGCTTCAGCAGCTCGTAAAGTTGCTTTTTGAATCTATTGAGTGGTATTTCAGTGGATTTTGACCAAAGAAAAAATTAAAAAAAAAAAAAAAAAAATCCTCTAGGGAGGAGAGAGGTGTGTTGTAGGGCATCCTGCTCACCCTACATTGAGCATCTGCATGGGATACCAGCCTGGCTGCAAGGGACAAAGGGTGCAGTGGGGCATCACTAGGGCTTGACAGTTCTATCCTGTCCTGTCTTCCATCCTGTCCTCTCTGTTCTAACCTATCTTATATTCGGTGATCTTTGTAGGTCCCTTCCAAACATCCCATCCCTCTGTCTAGCAGGGGTGGATCCTTATCCTTGGGATTATAGCTGCAGAAACCCTCAACGTGATCCAGTTGGGACCATTTTTTCCCCCCAAATCTAGATCTCCAAGTAAGCTTAGAGATCTCAAGCCACTTCAATAGGACAGGCCTGAAATGGAGCGGAGACTGAAATCATTCCAACTGCTTCTCCCTTCCCTCTTCTCTGCTAACCAAGCATGCGTGCATGGGTAATTAGAGGCTGCAACAGATGGCGGAGGCTCAGTTGAGAGTAACACGGCCGTTAAAAGGCACTGCCAAGCGACTGCTCACGTCAGCGGGGGCTTGTTTACGCTAGCAGGGCTTTTGCATGGTAGTAGGCATGGGAAGGCAGCCAGAGGCTTCCAGCGAGGAGCTGCTGAGTCCTGCTTGCCACTCTGTTTCCCCCATAAGCTGGGGAAGCCCTGCAAAGTGCATGCCTGAGTGCTGCAGAAAATCCATTTTGGGGGCTGGAAGTTTTTTTTTGTTTGTAAAACTGGGACTAGACAGATGATACTCTTGCTTGGATGTCCCAATGGGAGGCTGTGTGGTGGTCCCATCCCAATTTTTGCAGCAGGATGCTGCACTGGTAGGTGGCTCTTTGCAGCTGGTTGGAGTATTTCCTCCTGTACTGCATTCCTCTACTGTTTTTTGAATACATGTAAAAATCTAGATGGCATATAGATCAAAGCATGCCCTGCATAGGAACATGCTTGCTCGGAATTTGTGCTTTTGATGCTTCTATCCAGTGCACTTTTCCATAGCTGTGGCATTGCCCAGCTGGAAACGGGGGTCCATAGCATCTGAGCCTTTCCCATAAGCATTTTGGAAACATTTAATGTCTGTGGTTTGCAGTTTTTTGCTCTCAGCAGTGCCTTTACTTCCTGTGAGCTTCTTCTTTCATTAATGCCATTACTTACTTTCCTGAGGAGCTGCCAGTGCTGGTAAACTCCAGCTGCTAAACTGCATTACACAGCTCACTCCTGAAGCCTTTGCAGTTATTAATAGTTATCGATCTACAGCTCATTTCCATCACTGTTAGCAGGATGTTCCTTGCTATGGATGAGGGAAGCTGGAGTAAGGGCTGGCAATGAGTCCCCTCTGTCCTTCCCAGCCTCCCCGAGGTTCGCATTTCGGACAATGGCCCCTATGAGTGTCACGTCGGCATTTATGACCGAGCCACACGGGAGAAGGTGGTCCTGGCGTCTGGTAATATATTCCTCAATGTGATGGGTGAGTGCAGCAATGATGTGATGGTGGGGATGATGAGTTGGTGACAACGTGGTGGTGGAAATGATGTTGAGGTGGTGGGGATGATAAGGTAGTGATGACAGGGTGGTGGGGACAATGAGGTAGTGACAGCGTGGTGGTGGTGATGATGTGGTGGCAGTCATGACTAAACAATGATGTGATGGTGACGATAAGGAGTGATAGGTGAGTGAGCAGTTGGGTGGGGATAGAGGGGAACCTTAGGAGGGTCAGACCCCATGCTCAAACCACCACCAAGACATTACGGTGATGGTTCAAGGGGTGACCTCCAGCTCATATTTTCCCAGTTTGCAACCCCAATGAATTGCAGGGAGTCAAAGAGGTGATGCTGGAGATGGGATGGGGACACTGTACTCACTCTCTAGCTTTTCATCTCCAATGCAGCTCCGCCAACATCTATCTCAGTGATTGCTGCTGACACACCAGCGCCCTTCAGCCGCTACCAGGCACAGAACTTCACCTTGGTGTGTGTAGTGTCCGGTGGCAAGCCTGCCCCACTGGTGAGAATTTGCTTCTGAATATATCTGTAGGTCGGGTCCATGCAATCCTTTGGCAGAGAACAGGGGATCGGAGAGAGAGATGCTTTGTATATGTACACTCACTGTGACCTGACAGTTAGACTCAAAGATCTTTGTAAGTCCCTTCTAGTTGAAATTATTCTATTCCATTCTAGCCTATCCTACCCTATTCTCTGTTCAATGATCTTTGTAGATCTCTTCCAACTATTCTATCCTATTCTCTATTCAGTTGTCTTTGCAGATCCCTCCCAGCCATTCCATCCTCTGTTCTTTTCTATTCTGTTTTCTCCTATCCTGTGACCAAAATTGTTTCTGACCTATCTTAAATTGTACTTTTGTTATTACACACATGTTGTCCCTAGATGTCCAACAGGAAATTCTGCTATTTAATGTTTAGTATATGGATTTTTACATATATATTAATACATTCAGTGTCAAAGCAAAGGCAATTCCTGCCCGTTAGCACCATAACATGTTTCTGCAGAGCTCTGGGGACTCACAGCTGCCCAAGGGAATGGCCCAGGAGGTAGCCCAGTGCCACTGCCATGTGCTCCCTATCCCTTCTGCCCCCTCCACAGGTATATTTCAAGCGCGATGGGGAGCCCATTGAGGCCACTCCGCTGCCAGAGCCACCAGCTGCCACTGGGAACTGGGCACCTCGCAACCTCCTACACCGTGACCTGGATGACACCAAGGTGCCCCAGTTGCTGGCCGAGGGAGAAATGGGGGGCGGGCCCCCCAACACCGCAGAACCCCCGCGGGGGCTGACAGCTGAGCGGGGTCCCACCACTGAAGCCATCCCCGAAACTGTGGTGAGCAGGGAGTTCCCACGCTGGGTGCATGTGGCGGAGCCCATTTACTATTTCCGCCACACACACGTGCCCATCAGTGATGGCACAGTGGAGGCACGGGCCACCCTCACCTGGACCCTCAACCCCCAAATTGACAACGATGCGCTCTTCAGTTGTGAGGTGAAGCATCCGGCGCTCTCCATGCCCATGCAGTCAGAGGTGACTCTCGGTAAGGACAGCAGTTGTGGTTGGGTGAACTTCTTGGTTTTCTTCATGCATTTATTGCAATTTGGGCTTTAATGTTTAGTACGGGAGTGGGGAAGGTATATTTTTGCTTTTTCTCCAGTTATTGCATTAACTGCATGTTTTTTCCTTTCTTTCTTTTTTGCATTTGTGTTTATTGCCTGTTTTTGCATCTCTCTTTTTTTGTTTATTGCAACTATACCTGTGTAATTTTTTGGTCTTTGTTGCAATGTTGTATTTATTGCCTTTTTTGTTTTTAATTTTGCATTTATCACTTTTTAAACTTTTAATTTATTGCAATTCTGTATTTATTGCCTTTTTTACTTTTTTTTTTTTTTTTGCTTTTCTGCACGTATTCAATTTTGCATTTGCTGCTCATTTTTGCTTTTTCACATCTAGTACACTTTTGAATTTGTTGCTTGTTTTGCTTTAGCTTTTTCTGGAATTTTTTTTTGTTTGTTTTGGTTTTTTGCATTTCTTGCTTTCCTCCCCCCCCCCCAGTCTCCCCC